AGGGCACCAGATCTCATTATAGATGGTTGTGTACCACCATGTGGTTGCTGGGAATTGAACTCAGGACCTCTGGAAGAACAGTCAGTGCTCTTAACCTCTGAGCCATCTCTCTAGTGGGGGTGGGGTGTTTTCCCTTATCTCTTTCCATCTGCCCCCCCAGTCTCTAGAATGCTGATTACAGGTATGCATAACCACAACTGAATTCTTCCACTATTTTTAATCTAGACTTAATCTAAAATTGCAGCAACAAAACTTTTTAATTCTTCTTTCACCTTTAATTTGCAATTAAATTGTGATTGTAATTTGTTTGTTTGTGTTGTTTTTGTTTTTTGAGGTGGGGTTTCTCTGTGTAGCCCTGGCTGTCCTGGAACTCGCTCTGTAGGTCAGGCCCGCCTTAAACTCAGAGATCTGCTTGCCTCTGCCTCCCAAGGCTGGGGTTAAAGGTGTGCGCCACCCCAGGTTGTCCTCTGACCTCCATACAAGCACTGGCAAGTGCATTCCTGCACTTGAGTACATGTGTACATACATGCACACACAAATAAATAAATGTAATTTTCTTTTTTTTTTTTTTTACAAAGAACTTTTTTCTCTTCATTCTTTCTAATTCAGCTTCTCTGACTCTTAAGTAGTTGTGTTAGATGTAGAGATACATAAATAAGAATATTCCTTTGGGGGAAGGCTGGAGTGATGGCTTAATGGTTAAAAGCACTAATTGCTCTTCCAGAGGAAGAAATTGGTTCCCAGCATCCATATGGCAGCTCACCAGCTGTCTGTAACTTCAGTTCCAGAGGACCCAGCATCATCCTCTGACCTGCAGTCATAGACAGGCATGCAAGGAAAACACTCATATACATAAAATAATGAAATTAATTTTAAAACTAACTTTTATTAATTTTTTCCCCCGTTTTTAGTTTTGCAAGACAGGGTTTCTCTGTGTAACTGCTGGGGCTGTCCTGGAACTCACTCTGTAGACCAGGCTGACCTTGAACTCACGGAGATCCACCTGCTTCTGCCTCCTGGGAGCTGGGATTAAAGGCATGTGCCACCACCACCTGGCCAACTTTTATTGATTCTTTGTGGGTTTCACATCACAAATCTTGATCCCACTCATTTCCTCATTCCTTTGCATCCACCCTCTGCCCTTGAAACTTCCCCATAAAGATATAACAAAATAAAATTTAAAAGAAAAGGAAAATCTCAATCGTGTTAAGCTGTCCTGTGACACAGTGAATCACATAGATTCATATATCTTTACTTGCTACACTATCAGGCCCTCACTGGGACTCCTCTTAGATATCCTGTTACTGTCCTGTGTTGTGGAGATCCTGTGAATTTGGGACTGCAGAACCAGCCCCTTCACCTGCTCTAGCATCTCATAAATGGGGTGGATGCTGGGGTGGGCCAACTCATATAGCCCTGGTTCTGGACCTGGGAATTAATTTTTTGGAAAAGAATTTATTTCTAATTTCTCAGTTTTACTTACATAAGAGGGATTTTTCCCTCCTTGCTGTCTTTGTTACTTGAAATAGTAGCTAAAATTTGTATTGGATTCTTCTTTATTGATAGCATGTCTAACTTGGTCTCATTTAGACACAGTCTACTTAACTTTGTAGTTCCTGAGCTGCTATTGTATCATGGACAGACCCATGATTGTGCCAGTAAATGCTAATGAAATTATTGTGTTAAACTTTCTGAATGGAAAGATATGGACCGAGCAGTGTATGAGGCTGATGTCAGGTGTGGTGAGAAGAGATGGCAGATAGCCACAGGACTGTTAGGGGACAGGTGCTGCTTGGATAGGGTGGTTTTGTGCTGACATTTGTGCTCACAACAGAATGACAAGAATGAGTCATACGCTCAGAAATCTGGGAGTGGTGGTGGCTAGAACAAAAAGGTCAAGGCAGAAGGAGGTTGGCAGAAGCAGAACAGTGGTGACTGGACCTGAGAAGGTGAGCTCAGAGAAGCAGACTGGGTTGGCAGGTCTGGTTCTGTGGGCCATGGTGGAATTGAGAGTTATGTTGATTGTAGTAAGGACTGAGCTCCTGGTGAGGTTTAAATGAGTGCCAACCGGGAGGATTTCTGTCTTCCAGTGGGTGGGTGTTATTTTTTTTTTATGAATTAATTTCCAATTTATGGCTCCTTGGTGTGAAGTCATTCCTCAGCCTGTGAGCTATGCCACTCTGAGTTTGATTCGGGGAGCACAAACTACACCCTGCCTGGAGTGTAGGGCTGGAGTTGAAATACCTTCTGAAGCTGAGTTAACCCTTGCAAGCCTGTAGAACACTTGTAATACTGTTCTGAGGACAGGAAAGAGGAGTTTGGCAGAGACATGAACAAGATGACAGTTTATTGTTTGTCTTCACCGGTTATAGGCCCTAGTCTAACCTGTTACAGGTGACATTAAGGGAGCAGGCAGAGGAGTAAGAAGGTGGGGTTCTAGTTCTTGATGTGTAAACATATAGGCTCTGTACTGGTGATCCGGTGAAATTCAAAATAGTGTTTGTTTGGCTGTCCCTAGGCCTGTTTCAACCATTGGAACAGGATTCTGTGATAAGTATTTTAAATAAAATGCTTGTTTTAGATTACTCTTTTTGTGTGTGTGTGTGTAGACCAGGCTGGCCTGGAACTTGTGATCTTAGTGTTCCCTCCTCTAGATGCTGGGATTATTGGTATATCCCTCCATACCTACTTACTATAGAGTGCTTGTTTCACACCTTATATTTTAAGACATATGTCTATATACTTTATCATGTGATTAAATTTCATAAACTAGAATCAACACCAGTTTTTTTCGAGACAGGGTTTCTCTGTATAGCTTTGGAGCCTATCCTGGCACTGGCTCTGGAGACCAGGCTGGCCTCGAACTCACAGAGATCTGCCTGCCTCTGCCTCCCGTGTGCTGGGATTAAACGTGTGTGCCACCAACACCCGGCTAGATTACTCTTTAAAGCTGAAAAGCCTCTGGGCAGAGAAACCCTGTCTTGAGAAACAAACAAAGGTGGTAACCTACTAACACGTGTGACAGCCATCTGTAAAACAGCACACATGAAGATGCAGGAAGGCAGTCAGATTTCAAGGACAGCACAGGATATTACCTTGACTCAGAGCTTCCTTTGAGAATTTATATTTAGCTGGGCAGTGGGGGCATCCCAGCACTGGGAAGGCAGAGGCAGGCAAATCGCTGTGAGTTTGAGACCACCCTGATCTACAAAGTGAATTCCATGATGGCCAGGACTACACACAGAGAAACCCTGTCTCGGGGAAAAACAAACAAAAACCCACCAGAATTTACGGGCTTGGCCTGGGTAGTGGTATATGCCTTTAGTCCAAGGAAGCACCCTGAAGGGAGGCAGAGCAAAGGCAAACAGTCAAGGTCTACAACAGTGTCTCAAAAGCAATTAATTAGCTGGGCTGTGGTGACACACCCTTGGGAGGCAGAGACAGGTGGATCTCTGTGAATTCAAGGCTATCCTGGTCTACAAAGAGTTACAGAACTTCCAGGGATACACAGAGAAATCCTCTCTTTAAAAAAAAGAAAAGAAAAGAAAACCTTTAAAAGTTTTATTTTCTCTTCTCTGCAAAATGTAGATTTTAAAAAATAGACATAAAAGAAAAAAAAAAAGACTTGAAAGGGGCTAGAGAGATGGTTCAGCAGTTAAGAGCACTGGCTTGTTTCCAGGGGTTCTGAGATCAACTTCCAGCAACTACATGGTGGCTCACAACTGTCTATAGTGGGATCTCATGCCCTCTTCTGGCATAACGGCATACATGCAGGTAGAGCACTCATATACATAAAATAAATAAGTCTTTTTAAAAATAGACATGAATATAGAAGGGGAAGTATTTAAGAGGAAGGAGGGCAGCAAGAGGTGAGGAGAAGAGGCGAGTGAAAGGAGGTTTGACTATAATCAGATACATTGTATACACATTAATACTAATGTGATTTTGTACAATTTTTGTACATGTTTTTTTCAGTTAATGTGCACTAATAAAAATATAATTGGAGGGTCTGGGGAGACAGCTCAGTTGGTGAAGTACTTTCCTTGCTGTTTGATCCATAGCATCCACACTTTGGGGTTTTTTATTTTGTTTTTTTCAAGGCAGCTATGATGACAAGTACTTGTGACCCTGGGCATAGACAAGTGGAAGACTGGTAGAGTCTGGCCAGTGTCCAGTCAGTAAGAACACTTATTATATAAAGAGAGAGAAGGTGGGCAGCATCTGAGGGACAACAGGTCATGTGCGTGCACACATACACAGAAAACAAACTTGTTAATTACTGAAATGGAGGAATTGCACCTGCCCCTTCCCTTCCTATTCTTGTTTGTTTGTTCGTTTAGTTCTTTATTCAGATACACATTTTTAGATCTATGAGTGTTGTTTGTATGTATGTATGTATGTGCATCATCTGTATGTGTGGTGCCCACCTATAGAGGTCAGAAGAGGGTGTCCAGTCCCCAGTATTGGACCTCCAGATAGTTGTAAGCCACTAAGTGGGTGCTGGGAATCAAACCTGGATCCTCTGGAAAAGTAGCCAGAGTTCTTTAACACTGAGCCATCTCTCCAACTGTTTCTTTGTTTAAAGAATTTCCCTTAACTTTCCTGTGTGGTTGTTGGCAAGTAATACTTGTGAATGTCCCAAAAATGTTTGTATTATAGCTTAATTGATTGATCTTCTCATATAAAGCAAATTAAATATATTTCACCTTTGAACTTGCACAGATAGGTGTTAAAACTGATACCTTCAGTTTCTTCATCTACTAGAGTGGCTTTTTTGCTATAGGTTTGTTTTTGATTATTGACATTTTATTTTTTTTATTATGTGTATGGGAAGGAAGCAGAGTTACAGGCAGTTGTGAGCCACCTAGCATGTACTGGGAATCCAACTCAGTTTCTATTCAGGTGGCTCTTAATCACTGAGCTGTTCCTCTAGTCCTAGAGTGCCTTTTTTTTTAATCCCCGTATGCCGATAATTCTAAGCTGTTTGTTTTCTTTTACAGGGAAGTCCTCATTGACAATTCAGTTTGTTGAAGGCCAATTTGTTGACTCCTATGATCCAACCATAGAAAACAGTGAGTGTTGTTTTCAACTACTTAGCCACTGAGAAAGCATTATTTGTACAGTCGTAAAAGGTTTGGGTTACAGTGGGTAATGTGTTAAGTTTGTATTTCTCTAATGGGGAGTTTTAGAAAACTTGCAGAGATTTTACTCAGGGTACCCTGAATTCTTTTTTATTCAGTGACTATGTCCTCTGACATGTAGAGAATTATATCCCAATCATTAGTAATATGGTTCTGTATTGGAACTTCATATACAAAGTGAGCTTCAAGCAAAAGGACTTGAGAGCAGTTTTATTTTTATCCCCACCCCCTCCATTCAGTAAGAGCCCTTTGTATAGATGTCAACTTTGAAAAGAAACACTTGAAAACTTGTGCCTTTCCAGTCCTGAAGACTTGAAAGAGTCTTCTGGGAAACATGCTATTCTAGGATCACAGCAGGTGCTGCAGCATTGGAAAAAAGTTGCATGTCACATCACATGTAGGAAAGAGCACACACAGCCAGAACCAGCCACAGCCTTTACTTCGTTGGCTTTGAGAATCTTAAGATGCTCGAGGTCTGCACTGGTCATCAATACAGCCAGAGAATCTACTTTGTTGGAAGCTCAGGCTGTTCTTTTTCACTATGTTAGAGCCCCTGGGAGACTCTGGAGCCAGAGTGTCAAGCGCTTGAGACTGAACTTGCCACCAGAAGTACACAGACTTAAACAGGAGTATGCTGTTGGCACGTTAGATGGAAGCACATTTAATGGCTAGGTTCATAATAATTAGGGTGTTGGCCTTCACCTCCTGAGCTTGCAGTAGAAACACTGAAGCACTTTGGCTCTCAGTAACAATAAGAGTCTATAGTCCAGAAAGGCTTAATGTGGAAAGAGTATGAATTAAAGTTTCAGCATCTGGAAATGTGGGGGGTTGGAATGGGTTTTCTGCATGGAGGATGTTAATTGGGGAGAAGAGAGAGTGGGTGTGTTGTGTGAAAGTTCTCACAGTGTTTGTTGCCTGGGTTCCAAGTTGATCTCTCCCTTCTAGCTAATTGCATTCTACACATGATCCTTTGGAGTAGTTAGGAGCTCTGGCACATGGCTGTCACTCCCAGCGAGACTGGTTTAAGAGTGTCATTATCACACTTTATTGTGCCTTTGGGTTTTTCTGTTTTGGTGTTCAGCAGTAAAGACATTATCATCATAAAGATAAATCCATAGTGGTTTTTCAGTGAAGTCTACAGGCAAGAGCAGAAATGTTTATCAAATCAAATACCCCTTGAGAGTTCATGAGGGCATATTTTGTCATTGGGTTATATTTACTATACCTTCAAATTCTTAACAGGATAGAAACCTTTATTCCATTCCTCCAATATTTGGTAAGAAAGCATTCTTTGGTGATAGCCATGAGATTGTAAAAGCAGAAAGGTTCAGGCCAACCAGAGCTACATATTGAGACTTGGTTTCACCCAGTGGTTGAATGAATGAATGAATGAATCAATCAATCAATCCAAGATCTGAAAATAATCTGGTAATTATTTTGTACTTATCTTTATCATACAGAATAAGTTATTAATAGCAAATGTTCAGCGGTGGAAGGGAAAAGTTCTGGGTCTCTGTCACTTTGAATAGTTAAGATAAGAGAAGAATTTAGCAAAACTTTTTTTTTTTTTTTTAAGAGAACAGACCAGAAGTACCTACTACTTGCACAGATACAATTTCTTGTCTGTTCTGTAGTATTAACCTAACAACATGATGTATACTAGACTTGGGGGATATAGTTTACAAATGAGACCAGGAGCAATTTATATCCTGTGTCATCTCAGGAACGGTTGGCACTGTCATTTGTGGTTAGGATTGTTGGTTTGTTGGTTTATTTGAGACAGGATTTCTATGTGTAACAGCCCTAGCTGTCCTAGAACTTGCTTTGTAGACCAGGCTGGCCTCGAACCCACAAAGATCCGCCTGCCTCTGCCTCCGCCTCCCAAGTGCTGGGATTAAAGGCATGCACCACCACTTCCTGACTGTAGTTAGGAAACTCTGATGGAGAGTCTCATAGTTTTACCAAGCATGGCTTGCTGATAGATCTCTTTGGGGGGTATGAATTAAGGATGCTTAACATATCTTGGTAACAGTGACTTATTTTGCAAATGCTAAAATTTTAGAAACCTGTTACTTTGTTAGTATGAGAGACTTCACTGGTAAATAGCTATAGTCTACATTCAGACTTTACCTAGTATTCTTCCTTCTGTCTTTGTGGGGAGAGGGTAGGGAGGGGTATGTGAGACAGTCTAGCTAAGTAACCTAGGTTGGTCTGGAACTCTTGAGAGCTTCTTGCCTCTGCTTTCTGAGTGCTTGGACAGGTGGGTGCCACCGTGCATAGCTTCCTTGTGTTCCGTTTTACTTATTTACAATTTTGCTAGCGTATTTTAGACTGATTGCCTTAGTGGTTTTATTTTTCCTTTGATTTCCTACATGTGTAGAATGTATTGGTCATTTTTATCTCCATTATCCTCTCCCTTCCCCCTTGACTTCTTTGGTTTGTTTGTTTTGGGTTTTTCTAGACAGGGTTTCTCTGGCTTTGGGGACTGTCCTGGAACTAGCTCTTGTAGACCAGGCTGGCCTGCCTCTGCCTCCAAAGTGCTGGGATTAAAGGTGTGTGCCACCACCTCCTGTTTTGTTTGTTGTTTGTTTGTTTGTTGTTGGTTTGGGGGTTTGTTTGTTTGTTTGTTTGTCTTAATAAAAATTTCTGCCTGGTGCCATTTTCCTAGACACGCTGCCAGGTTCTGTGGTATTGCATGGGTCTCCCTTCTTCACTGAAACATCAGCTCAGGGTCAGAGACTTGGAGCATGTGGCACAGTACGGCTGATACAGTAGTGCCCAGGAGGTAGTTGTAAATAAATGAACTTTTATCCCAGACATCTGGTCAAGACAATTGTGTCATACCATGTAACAACTATAGCTACTTGGTTTTAAGGGTAGCTGTTTTTTCTACTCACCAGTGTTTCTTACACAATTCTCATCAAGCCTGGAACAGGACTTTTTAATTCTAGTTGAATGGTTTCTCACAGGTGTATGTTACAGCCTCCTGGCTGACAGTGATTTGAAAGTTCCCGCGCTTGCTAGTTGACTACAATTCAGAGGTCAGAGTAGAACTCTTATAGAATAAGTGAGGAGTTGTTGTTGTTGTTGTTGTTGTTTTGAGACAGAATCTCACTAAGTAGCTCCAGATGGCCTGGAACTTGTTGTGTAGACCAGGCTGGTCTCTAATCTGCCTGCCTCTACCTCCAAAACACTGGGATTTTTAAATATATTTGGTACTGTATCCAGCTATCAGTGGATTTGTACTGGATATTCTCCAGTTTGGGTTACTATTGTTTAGTCTTTACCTGACTGTGTATTTCCTTAATGTGGCCATTCCCAGAAAAGGGTCAAGGATAATGTGCAGTCCTTGTAACCTGCCCATCAGCCTGCATTTAGGAGCAGCTAATGCATACTCCCTCTCTCGAGCACCTGTGTTTCCATGGAGTCCCCTGCCTTTCTATTTGTCACTTAGTTTTCTGAATAATTCCATATGTCTCTTGCTTTTCCTTTCTGTTATGAGACATATGGGGCATCTTTCTTCTGCAGAAAGAATGGCTTCTGCTACTAGGCCTGTATTTATTGTACAGGATAGCCAGCCAGGGAATGGCTGGAGCCACCAACACAAAAGAAGTCTATTCCAGATGGTTACATGTTAAAGTTTGTTGCTCTGAGTAGTCAGTCCTGTGTTTGAAATTCTGAACTGACTTTTCTCATCCTTACTGGAAAAAAAATTGTGAAAAATTGTCGGGTCTTTTAAGCTGAGAAAGAGTGATGGTTTCATCCAGGAACATCTGTTCCTTTGCTATATTAACTGTCTGTGAAATTGTTGTTTCTTTGTTAATGTACTAAAGCTTCTTAGCACTTCAGTTAATACAAGTGCTTTGTCTTCTGACATCAGACTTCCTATGAATTAATGGGAGATTTTTGTGGTTTTGGTTCATTCTAGACTTAGACTTTACATAGTGTATTTCACTTGTTCTTAAGAAGTACTCTCCACAAAACAGATTGTTTTTATAGGGTGTGAATTATTGCCTGACTGAAGCCTCTCTGGAAGGGATTCAAGGTTTCCCTGAGCTTGATTTTCTTCAGCAGTTCCTAGCAGGCCAATGGAAGAAGGAGACAGTCTGTACAGTTCTAGGCTTGTTTGTTTTCTATTAATGGGAACTTCTGGAAAAATTATTAGGGACTCAGTTTGATCAGCTGTCATTGCTCAAACTTACAAGCAACCCAGAGTTTAATATATTTAAAGTAGTATTTTGTTCTCTTTCCTTGTAGCTTTCACAAAGTTGATCACAGTAAATGGGCAAGAGTATCATCTCCAGCTTGTAGACACAGCAGGGCAGGTAAGTGATTCTCAGGGTCCCCTGCAGCAGCAGGTCTGACAGTCCTGCCCAGCAGCACCCACACACACTCTCTAGTCTGGGGCTGTGGGTACAGCGGGATGTTAATGTGCTGTCTACCTGGGCTTAGTAAAACCACATGGTGCATCTCTGAGGAACTGTGTTTTTCTATGTCAGAACTGTTTTAACTATATTGTTAGCAGAGTGACGGTTGACTACTCACTACAGAATAATGGTTTTCTGAACTTTAATTCTGCATTAAAGAATCATCACTTCCCTCCCTCTGGCCCTCCATAATGTGTATTTTCCTACATTAAGACAAAAGTGAAATATTTTTCAGGGAACTGGCAAGAGGTAAAGCTCAATTCTTACAAGGCCTTGAGCTAGGAAACAGCAGATTGGTTAGATTGTGTGGTGGTCAGATTTAACTGTTGATTTGATTTGAGGAGTAGTTCTCAAAATCAGTTCTTCCATTTCCTCTGCACAGAGAAAAGGATACTCAGGTTAATCAGTGCAGCAGTGAGGTATGGAATGCATTGCCGGGGGTACTGACTGGGGACAAAGGAGAAAGAAGTAAGAGTACTCTAGGGAACAAAAAAGCCCTTTGACAACTTAGCTGCCTTGTTTCCATGGCACCAGTCCTGCCTTTTCTAGAAACCATTTTGTTAGACTGAATGTGTCCCTGTTCACTGGAGGGTAGGGAGTATAAAGAGGCTGGGCTTTCAGCTCTGACTTTCCTGCCCTTGCAGCACAGAGTCCCAAAGGGTTAGTTAGGCCAGCGGGCCAGGGAGTGGTCCAGTCTCTGCAGTGTTGAATGGAGGCTTTTTTATGTGACCTCAGCATATTGAAATGGACCTAAAATAACGGGGCGTGTCCTGTGCTTAGAAATGAGTTCCTTCTGCTTTGTTTTGAAGTAATGCTAGAAGGAGGTGTGAAATAGGAAATAGCTGAACTAAGTAGTGTTAGTACTAGAGAAATCTAGAGTTTCTGTTCAGGAAGCAATAAACCCTGAATGTGTGTGACTCTGCACTTCTAGAGAGTACTGTGGCATGCACTTTCCTCCCCCACTTAGTCACCAAAGCTGTGGTGGAGCACGTGTCATCAGTCAGAAGCTAGCAGTCCTGTTCCCACAGACCCATTCCTGTCTTGAAAGAATGTGCTGTCATCTTACTAAGATAAGAGATGGTAACAGCCCCTGGCAATGGCATCATCATTACCTAATAAATTTACACGGTGATCTTCATGTTTTAGGAAAAAATGTACACCATAAATATTCATAATAAATAGCAAGTACTTTTTACTTTGTAATTTGTGTCAAAAAAACAGGACCATTTGTTAATAACAAGGACACATTCTAAAAAGTAGGACTTTGGGAAAGTTCACCATTGTTGTCAAGGTTAGGTATTGGCAGCTAGAGAGATGGCTTAGTACTTAAGAGTACTTGCTGCTCTTCAGAGGATCTGAGTTTTATGGCCACATTGGATAGTTCATAATTGCCTGTAACTCCAGTTGCAGGGAATCTGACACCTTCTGGCCTCTGCAGGTACCTGCAAACAAGTGGTTCATTTAAGCTCATGCAGACGTACAGACATGCACACAAATAATAAATCAGTGCTTTTAATTTTTTTTTAAGGAGTTATGTAGTATTGTATCTAGCAGGACATAGTGGTATACATCACACCTGTAATCCCAACACCCTGGAGGCCGAAGCAGGATAGTGAACCTTGCCTCTAAGTAAGATAAATGTTCAGATGTTACACATAATTGTGCTATACTTTCATACCACTAGAAGTACAGTCTAAACTTCTAAATTTCCAGCGCTACTACAAATAGAGTGCAGTGCATTGTGCTACAACAGTAACATCATCACTCGGCAGTTGGGATTTTCCAGTCAGCTTTGTGGTTCGTTGCTGACCAAAATGTCATTATAGTACATTTACACATTACATGACTGTTACTGTGGCTTAATTGCCCAGCTGAGGAGAGTGATGAATGTTACTAATATAACTTGCTTAGTTTAAGTGTGCATGAAATATTTTGGTCTGGTCTAATTTTGAGATGAGATGTTTTAGTAATCTGAACTATAAGCCTTGCCTAGCACAAGTCTAAAACCCTGATGTCCTAAAGAAGTAGAAGCAGGAAGATCAGGAGTTCAAATTAATCCTTGGCTACATAACAGATTTGAGGCCAAACCTGGGCTACATTGAAACCCCATCTCAAAACAAAAAAAATGTGAACTATAGAAAAGTGTATTTTGAAACCTAGAGTGGCTGGGTGTTGGTGGTGCATGCCTTTAATGCCAGCACTCGGGAGGCAGAGGCAGGTGGATCTCTGAGTTCGAGGCCAGCCTGGTCTACAAAGCGAATTCCAGGACAGGCTCCAAAGATACAGAGAAATACTGTCTCGGGTAAAAAAAAAAAAAAATTTAAATTAAATTTCACCAAAATAAAGTAATAAAATGCAATTAAGGCACAACACTGTATAAGCTATATCCATAAGCATGTAGCTTCTGGTGATCATATGATGGGCAGCTATTGTCTGTATCATGATTATTGGTCTGTTATGTTCTTTGTCAATATTGATTGCTGCCGTGAACATACCAGTTGTGGTTGTAGTCAGTGATTACTATGTACAGAAGGACATCTTGTGTGTCAGTGTGGGTGCTAGTAGGATGCACAAATGTAAAGACCACAGGCTGGTGTTGCCCTTGACTTTGTCTTTTTAGGCGAGGTCTCTTACTGAACCTTGAACTCATCAGTTTGGCTCAACAAACTGGCCACGGAGCCAGTGACTTGCATGTCTGCACACACTGGCCAGCACTGGGGTTACAGACGCACTCTGCTGCAGTGGCTTTGTTATGGGTGCTGGGGGTGTGGACTCGGTTCCTCGTGCTTCACAAGGCAGGCCACACTTGACTAGCCACACCGTTCTTACAGGAGTCTGTGACTCCTGTATAGAGTACACTTTTGCCCAAGTACAAATTAAGAGACCCAGTTGATCCCAAGAAGGCTCTGTGCTTGTATTTGCACATTTTGTGTGACTTTTTATCCTTGATGATTATTATGTTCAGAATTCCCATACATAACTGCATCTTTCTACATTTTTCCTGTTTGTTCCTTTCTCAAAAAAATTCTCTTTTTACTAGTCTGTTCAAATGTCAACTTGACATTAATTATTGACTGTCCCATGATCCTGTGTATTAAGATCATGACACAAGTCTTAGGAACGCTGAATCAAACACATTTTTTTAAAACAGGGTCTTGTTATGTAGCTCTGGCTGGCATATAGAACTTTGTTTTCTTTGATTTAATCTCTTTAAATAATACATGAAAAACTTGTAAAGATTGTTTACTCTGTTCTACGAAGACTACTCAAATGTAATTAATTTTTTTCCACAGGATGAATATTCCATTTTTCCTCAGACATACTCCATAGATATTAATGGTTATATTCTTGTGTATTCTGTTACATCAATCAAAAGGTAAGACTAGCTGCTTGCTTGATATTATTTACTATGCATAGGCCCTTTTAAAGGATTACACTAGAATTAATAGTAACAGAATTGGTTACTACACTAAATGTTTTCAGTGATTTTTCTTGTGAAGTAATCAGATTATTATAGAGAGTAAAATCCTCAGTAAATTCCATTACACTGACAGAATAAAATCTGTTTACTCAGAGTGCCTAGGTGCTAACTATATGTGAGCTGAACTTCTGCTATTTGAATGGGAAATAGTGAATTGGTTTTATGTTTTGTGTGTTTTGCTATATTAATATTGAATTGACTAACCAATACAAATTAGGGACTTAAGTTTGTTTCCTGTGGATTTATGAAGTGAGACCTTTGAGTAATAGGGTTTTACTGACTAAAAATGCAGCCACTGTTCTGTGAGGATTGATTTTTGTTACCAGGGATGGCATCCATTGTCACAAAAAGTAGTAGTCTGTTGCAGTCAACAAAACATATGTGGCTGAATATGTGAGAACTCACAACAATGGAAACAGTTACCTTTGAAGATTTCATGGAAACACCAGTATTAGTAGAAACTTGGTGGCTAGCTGACATCTTTTCAGAGTGTGAAATGTCAGTGTGTCATACTGTCTGCCTTTTTAATGATGTATTGCTGATGCTGGGGAGATGGCTTTGTTGATAAAGTATTTTTCACTGTCCAAGTGTGAGGACCTGAGTTTGGATCCACAGCCATCATGTAAAAAGTCAGGTGAGGTAGCATATGTCTGTAATCTCAACACTGGGGCTTTAGAGGTAGCCAGCCAGTCTAGCCAGTCAGCATGATCTAGGTTCCGTATGACTCTGTCTCAACAAATCAAGTAGAGAATGATTAAGGAAGGCACCTGAGGTCAACCATACTGCTGCATACATACCCATAAAGAACACATAAAGAAAATAATTTTTACAATAATCCTTCACTAACCTGCCATGAGTAACCCTTTTCAGGTGCTTCCTTTCTCAGCTTCCCAAGAAAGAAATTAAACATTGGATTAAGAAACACCAACCCAGCATTGCATAGGCTGTGTGTGACACTGATTCAGGCATGCCTGCATGCCTGCATCTTCTACTTCACAGTCAAGGGCAGCTGTCCAGTAGGCTTTCCCTGCAGTGATGGAATTTTTCCTTATTCCTGCTTCATGTGACTACTAAAATTAGCTCAAATTTAACAAAATTGAAAGTTCTGGGCACCTGAAATGAACCCTAGTTATATTTCAGGTGCCCAGTCAGCCCCACATGGCTTGTGGCTGTTCTATGTGTTGTGATTTATTTTAAAACGCTGTGAAGAAAAGTCACACCATACAAGACTCACTTGAGGAGGTTTATTTGAAGAGGAGAGAGAGGGAGGCAGAGACCGGTCCCAGGTGACAAAAGTGGCAGAAGAAAAAGAGGGAGAGAGAGACAGACAGACAGACAGACAGACAGACAGACAGACTTGGGCAAGGCCCGCCCATTAAAAGGGAAAGCAGTGAATGTGCACAGGTGGTGCTCTCAGTGGCTGCAGCTGAGGGCGAATCCTGTCAGAACCCCAAGGGCAGGCCAGTGCCGATGCCTGAGTACTAGCATTATGGGGCAGTGTCTAGGGTCTTAACCACTGCACAGTATTGCCAGCAGAAATTAGACTCTCCTCTTGCATCTGTGTGTGTCTGCATTTTTCTTCATGGCAGGGGCTCATACCTTGAGGTTTTAATGTGTAACTGGAAAACAGGTACTGTGGCAATTCTGTGAACAGACCTTTGCTGCTGGTCCCTGTTTATACCTTAGTCAAAACAACATTGGCCAGCTCCATGTTGCTGAGAAACGATTGGGGAGATAGTTCTAGGGATACCCAAGAAGATGCTATTAACACTGCACTGATCGGATTTTAGTTTTTGTTTTGTTCTTTTTCTTTCTTTCACTGAACCATTTTTTCATGTCCTACTTACTAATTTGGGACTTGATTTATTTATTTATTTTCTTTTTTCTTGAAACAGGGTCTCACAGTAGCTTTGATATTCCTGGAACTTGCTCTGTAGACCATGCTGGACTCGGACTCACAGAGATCCACCTGCCTCTGCCTCTGGAGTACTAGGGTTAAAGGATGTGCCAGCATACACAGCTGATCTTTTTAATTTTCTTTCTTTTTTCTTTTAATTTTAATTATTATGTATGCAACATTCTGCTTCCATGTGTATCTGCACACCAGAAGAGGGCACCAGATTTGTTTATTTGATGCAGGGTCTCACTGTGTAGTCCTGCTTGTCCTAAAACTCACACATAGATCATGCTGGCCTCGAACTCACATGCCTCTGCCTCACAAGAGCTGAGATTATTAGGTGAACACTACCACACCCAGCAAGATAGGGTTTATTTTGGTTCGCAGTTTAAGGGAATCCTCATCCTATAGTAACTGGAGCTTGTGACAGCTGGTCACATTGTATCCAGTCAAGAATCAGAACAGTGAGTACTGTCTCTCAGCTAGTGTTTTCCTTCAGGCCCTAAATGTAGGGTCTACTGATGCTCATTGTTAGGTTGTCTTCTCCCTCAGGCAGTCTAACCAAGGTCATCCTTTGGGTGTGCCTAGGGCACACCTCCCAGGTGAGTCCAGTCAATACTGACCAGCAGGTTCCTAAATTTTCACTTTTACTTTTGTTTGTAAATTAATTTTGTATGGTTGTTAGGAAATTTGCTACTTTATGAATTGTTATTTTGTAGAGTTAGTGTACTGGGGAGTAATTTAGGTGTGGGGATTGGTTTTTGTAAGACAATTTCTTGCCGGGCGTTGGTGGTGTACGCCTTGAATCCCAGCACTGGGGAGGCGGAGGCAGGCGGATCTCTGAGTTCGAGACCAGCCTGGTCTACAAGAGCTAGTTCAGGACAGCCTCCAAAGTCACAGAGAAACCCTGTCTCGAAAAACCAAAAAAAAAAGACAATTTCTCTGTGTAGCCCTGGCTGTCCTGGAACTCACTCTGTAGTCCAGGCTGGCCCTGAACTCAGAGACCTACCTCTGCCTCCCAATAACAATTTTAAAAGCATGTGTCTCAATACCCTGCTGAGACATTTTTCTTAATGCATTTGTTGATTCCCTTTACTGGTGGGTCTGATTTTTGATGTTTTGGTTTGGTTTTTTTAATGTGTATCGGTGGATATTTTGGTTAGAAGTAGCATTTGACATTACATTTATTGTTAGCTTGAAATAATTTTTAAAATAGGGAAACGGTCTGGCAAGGTGGCTTACTAGGTAGAAGTGCTTGCTGCACAAGCTAAAGGGACCCGAGTTAGGTCCCAAGAGCCCATGGTAGAAGAGAACCAACTCCTAAAATTGTGCTTTGATATCCACACATGCAAAGTGGCACACACACACACACACACACACATACAATTCTACAAAATAAAACTATAGAAACTTTTTCTCCAGAGACCTTAGCTATTGAGAAGACCGTGGTGTTCTGCAAAGCAAAATAGAAAGTATGTTAGCTGCCTCTTTGTGGTTCTGATCACCTTTCTCTTGCTGCACTAGAATGTGGCAATAATGATTCTTTAGCTGTTTTTGTTTGTTTTATTTTTGTTTGAGACAGGGTCTCAAGTACCAAGACTGGCCTGGAGCTCACTATTTAGCTGAGAATGCCCTTGAACTCCTGATCTTCCTACCTTGCAAGTGCTGTGATTATAGGCATATATCACTATGACCAGCTTGAACTATTGCTTAACAAGGAGTACGGGGGGGGGGGGCACGAGGGGGGGGGGGGGAGGGAGTTAGAAATCTGTACACTGAATATACAATATTTATGAATATCCAAGAGATAGATTAGTAAAACTTCATTTATTTTTGTGGTGGTGGTGGTTTTTTGAGACATAGTTTCTCTGTGTAGCCTTGGCTATCCTGGAACTCATTCTGTAGACCAGGATGGTCACAAACTCACAGATCCACCTGCCTCTGCCTCCTGAGTGAGCCACCATACCTGACTCTAAAACTTTTGTTTGCTGGGTGTTGGTGGTGCACGCCTTTAATCCCAGCATTCAGGAGGCAGAGGCAGGTGGATCTCTGTGAGTTCGAGGCCAGCCTGGTCTATAGCGTGAGTGCCAGGATAGACTCCAAAGCTACACAGAGAAACAAACAAACAAAACTTTTGTTTTTAAAAAATCCAATTTATTGATCACAACTATTAAGTTTTAAAAACATTTACTTTATCTTATATATATGGGTGTTTTGCCTATGTGTCTGCCTCACATGTGTGCAATGCCCACAGAGTTCAGCAAATAGTGTTGGACCCCTGGAACTGGAATTACAGGCAGTTGTGAGCTGCCGTGTAGGTGTTGGGAAGTCAGGTTCTCTATAAGAACAGCAAATGCTCTTATTTGCTGAAGCGTCTCTCCAGTCCCATCTTTTCAATTTTTTAAGACAGGATCTCACTGTGTATGAAGCAGTTCTCCTGATTCATCTTCCCAAATGCTTGGATTACAGGCATAAACCATCCACCCCAAGGGCAGAACTCTTAGGGGGAGGGGTCAGTCTGTTTACCTATAAATCATAGCCATTATTTTGTGAAGTAAAGCAGAAATCTTACATTATTCCTTTGTATCATGAAGTTTATAGGATTGATTCTTGTAACATCATAAAGCAAAATACCTTCTGTTCTCAGTTTCTAGAAATGGGAAAAGATTACAGATCAGAGCTTTAGGTTTTCACTTATTTCTTCTAACAATGTAGAGCAGGTAACTTTGCAGTGCCTTAGTGTGGATCTTCAGAAATAGATTCATTGTGACAGCCTTGCTGTTTAAAACAGTGCTTAACAGGGCTGACATGGTAGCATGTGCCTGGAGGCTGAGACAGATAAGGATCTTGAGACAAGCTTGGGCTGCCTAAAACCCTGAGTGAAATTCAAGCTCCAGGATCTGAGGTGGAGGGAGAAAACTGACTTCCAAGAGGTGTCCTCTGACCCACATAGACACCCCAGAAAAATTACAGAAAACCAATGTTGTTTTTCATGTGATAGAAATAAAAATTGTTTGAAGAAAGTAATAGTTTATTTGCTTTTAATTGAAATTCTGTCTACTGCATGACTATCTGCAAACTACTTAAACGTAGACGCTTAAAACAGTACACGGATCTTAGTTTCCTGGCTCAAGCATATGGGTCTTCTGCTTCAGGCCTGTCAGGATTGGCTAGGGAAAGATGTTTCCAGGCTTGGCATGTGGGTTTTTAGTGTTGGATGGTGCTCTTATTTTCTTCCTGGGTGGAAGCCATCCCATTTCTCTACTAAATAACTCTCCCATGAGGACAAGCACACAAAGTGGATCAGAGTCTGCAGCACGATGGAAATGAAGACAGCTAGGCCCTAGCCTCCATGGTACCAAATACCATGTTTGTGCCCTGCTCATTGTTAGGTAGTCACTAGGCCAGCTCTCACCAGGAGGTAGGAGGAAAGTACCTTTACTAGAAAGAAAGCTGGTCCCCACTGCCTCTCACCCAGTCCCAGCCTTCCAGCTGTTTCTCATGGGTTCATTCAGTGTAGGCAAAGGAACTGTGGATCCAAATACAGCCTGTAGAAATGGGGGTGCCCTGTCCTGTTGGTGAACTTCAATGGAGTAAAGTTTAATTTTCATCAGTAACAGTATGTGTGATGCTGCGTTCAGCAGTCTTTGTTCAAAGCTTGGGCTGTCTTAAGTTTCTTGACAGTGGTACTGTGACAGAGAATTTAAGAAGGGAATGAGAGCTGTGAGAGTTTGTGGGTTTATGTGGGGTGAGCAAGTCTAAGAAGAGCCATTAAAGGCTAGAGAGCGTGCACTGTTCTTGCAAAGTACAGTTCCCAACACTCACATTGGGTAGCCCACAGCAGCCTGTAACTCCTGCTCCTGGGGTTCCAGTGCTCTGTTCTAGATTATGCAGACACCCACACATATAGACACACAAACACACACACACACACACACACACACACACACACACACACACACACATATATATATATATATAACTTAAAAATAAATCTGAGGAAAGAAAGAGCCATAAAGTAAAGACTTGGATCTCAAGGGGGAGAACATTTCAGTGGGATGGTCTGGCAGTGCTGGAGGCCCAGCAGAGGGGATAAGGGACAGAAGGAAAGGAAGTCAAGTTAGGACTTGAGAGTCATCCAGGGGGAAGCCAGCCATGGGAAGAAGCACAGAGCCAGGCTAAGGGACCACAGAGAGGAGTGGAAGGCTATCCTGTCCTGGGCAGCTTGAAAGGTAATGCAGTGTGTTCTGACGGTGCTCACACCACGTTTTCTGAGTGAGGGTAGGAATGGCTTGTGCCCATTAGTCAGTAGTCAGAGGTGTGAATGATCCCACTGTGGCAGTGATTTTAAGTTAATCATTATGACATGTTTGAGGGTCATCAGCACGTCGATGACAGTAAAAATCCAGGGTTAGCATCACCCAGTGAATAATGGTTCATGGAAAAGGAGGGGAGCCAGCCGTGGTCACATGCCTTTAATGCCAGCACTGGGGAGACAGACAGAACTGGCCAAGCCTGGTCTATGTAACAAATTCCATCAAGACTACCTCAAAAACAAGAAAGGAAAGCAAACAGGGCTGATCACTAGGGAACACTACCTGCGAAAAGCTCTACAGATTTCCATTTAATGGATACAGTTTGAGGATCAAGTCCATGTTCTTGTGGTTTGTCAGCCCAGTGCTAGACGCATGAACCTGTCTTACTTTGTATAGTCACACTAAGGATCACTGAGTATCATCTGTGGTTAAAATGACATCTGCTCCTGTGCTTTTGTTTTGTAGTTTTGAAGTAATTAAAGTTATCCATGGCAAGTTGCTGGATATGGTGGGGAAAGTGCAGTAAGTAGCCTGTCTCTCTCTAGAACCGCAAACCAGCATCTCTTGAGCTGGGAATGGTGGACCTGACTTACCTCTGCTCTTGTCTCTTCTAATAGGATACCTATTATGTTGGTTGGAAATAAGAAGGACCTGCATATGGAAAGGTATGTAGCTCTTAAGTCCAAGGCGATTTAGTCAGCAAAATACCATTTTTAAATTATTTTCTCATGGCCAAAGTTTTGTCACTGTGTACAACAGAAACAATATACCGTACAAATGCCACACTTGTTGACAATGAGGAGCAAACCGGGAGATTCCCTTGGGGTTAGTTATTGAGACAGATATTATTCAGTTTCCATACAGTACTTTGTGTACTGGTTGTGATCACAGTGATGAACAGGGGCAGGAACACCGTGTGCAGGGAGCTCAGGGCAGAGCATTGGGAGGAGCCTAGGCTGGTGGCCCTGGTGGGATTTTCCTGGGCCCTGAGTTGCTTAAACTCTTCCTATGGCATGGCTGTCGTGATTGATGCTGCAGTACTGGAAAGCAGTTGCTTCCCTGAACTGCAAGAGCTCATTGGCACGTAGATGACCCTGAAACTTGCCTGTTCTGTTCCAGCTCAGGCGGGACTACAGCTCCTGTCACTTCCTGACAGTAGAAGGAAAGCACACAGTTCTGCTTCACGGTGGAATGGGTCAGAGTGGGGCTGCTTGATAAATAATCGTAGCTGTTCTACATGTCAAAGAGTCAAGGCTTTCTTTTTCCTTCTTTTAAGGGTGATCAGTTACGAAGAAGGGAAAGCTTTGGCAGAATCTTGGAACGCAGCTTTTTTGGAATCTTCTGCAAAGGAAAATCAGGTATATAGTTTGTAAAGCTTATTTTGTGTCAGCCTCGTTAGTTACAAAAGAGTCTGATATTTTTTTAATTTATTTATTTTTAAATTAGAAACAAGCTTCTTTTACATGTCAATCCCAGTTCCCTTGAGAGTCTAATATTTTTAAGATTGATAATCTTCTGCTTAAAACCATTCTACAGAGAAGGGCATGTTTATTGTGAGCATATTATTGCTACTGTGTCTGTGTCCATAGGCTGGAGCAGAAATAAGATACACACAAGGAGACTTAACTGTATTACAACTATGTCCCTTTTCAGTAGAAAGTGAGTCAGATGCATGGTTATTTTAAGCACTAATTTTAAGAGTCCTTTTGTTGACAGTTTCAGCCCTGCAGCTGTCCGTCTAAGGGGAGAGTCATTTCTGTACTAGAAGGCTTCACAGAACTGCTGCTTCCTTTTAGCCATAGCTTTGGTTTACGCTTATCACTTTGCATGGTACCCGTGCTGTTCTCCTGTGTCCGTCCCCTAGTTCTTCTTCCCCTTGGGTGCTTGATCTTCCTCAAGCTGCAAACCACACGTCTCAGCCTAATCTAGTGCATGCAAGGCCTTAGCGTGTGGTGTCCTGTGCTATGCTTCCAGTCACTGCACATAGACCTCTCTCTTCTGCTTCTTTAAGCATAGGCAGGACATTCCTTAGACTTAAAACGTCTTGCCTCCCTTGTGTCCTTGCGCTCTCTGGTAGTCCGTATTATTTAAGTAGGTGTGGTGTTCTCTTGTACAAGCAACTTCTGTTTCCCAGTGAATTACAGAGCAAGGGCTTAACCATCAGCTAGGGTCAGGGAGGAAAGATATGGGAGAGCCAGGGCTCAAAGCCTTCTCTGCTGAGGTAAGCTGAGGGGGGGACTGTAGCTGAGTCACCTGATACTGAATCAAAGGTGTCCAGTCTGTGTGTGTGTGTGCGTGCTTCTCCCCCTACCCCCCCATAGGTCCCCCATGTGGGCAGCTGTGGCACATGCTCCCCTGGGCTGAGCAGTGTTGACATGCTAATGGACACTTTCTGAGTAGAGGGGTTCAGTACTGTGAGACCATAGCTAACCCACAGAAAAGAGCAGAAGTGATTAGCCACAGAACAGGAGGAATACAAAGGAGTGAGACGCCAGGTCTGCAGGGTTTAGCATCATGGACTGTGAGCTAGGAGGTTAGTGTGGTGGGGCACATAAAACAAGAGTTTGACTAAACACTGAGATTGGGGTGACAGTCGCTAGAGAATGGGAGACTGGGACTGGGAGGAGGGGGGTTACTAGAACTTGAGTAGACAGGTTTGTAATTAGTGGGTATGGTGCCTAGGAGGAGTAAACATGGGTGATTGAGGGCTTGCAGGCAGTTGTAGAAGCAGCCCAGGGAGGTGGGGTGAGCAAAGAGTCTAGGCTGGGAGTTTGGGGAAGCCGAGAGAAGGGTAGGACTGCAGGGGCAGGAAGGGCAAGAAGAAAAGAACTGCAGGGGTGTCTACAAGGGAAAATGCAGCCAGAGTGGAGCAGGGCCCCAAATACCCAGAGAGTGTCATGGGAGCGTGGGGGGCAGAGCAGAGTGGAAGCTGGTCTAGTTGCTGTGAGGAAGGCCCTGGGGTTGTGAGGCTCTGGGAGCCTGGAACCTCCATGTGGACCTGAGGACAGGTCAGTGGCCCCCTCCTCGGGAGGGAGGCTATCATGAGCAGCTATAATCTGCTGAGAACTAATGCTGTCGTTGTTTTCACCTTCTCTTCAGACTGCCGTTGATGTTTTTAAAAGGATAATTTTGGAAGCAGAAAAGATTGATGGGGCAGCTTCACAAGGAAAGTCTTCATGCTCGGTGATGTGATGATTCTTTCTGCTGCAGAGCCTGAAGACACCTGGGAATTTACTCCACCTGAAGAAGCAAACTGCCCGTCATCCTTGAAGATAAAACTATGCTTCTGTTTTCTTCTGTTAACCTGAAAGATGTCATTTGGGTCAGAGGTCCTCCCCTTTCAGATTATGTTAACGTCTGACTCTGTCCAAATGAGTTCACTTCCATTTTCAAATTTTAAACAATCATATTTTCAATTTATATATTGTATTTCTTAATATTATGACCAAGAATTTTATCGGCATTAATTTTTCAGTGTAGTTTGTTGTTTAAAATAATGTAATCATCAAAATGATAGACATGTTACACTACTATTAACTAGGCTTCAATATATCAGTGTTTATTTCATTGTGTTAAATGTATACTTGTAAATAAAATAGCTGCAAACCTTAATTTTTTTCTGCTACATGATTGGCTTTTAAAGCAAGAACTGTGGTGGGGGTGAGATGAGGTGAAATGGTATATATGTATCTTTAGCCCCTGCACTCAGGAGGCAGGGGCAGGTAGGGAGTTACAGGCTAGCCAGACTTACCTGGAAAAACAAAAACAGAAATCATACTCTGGAGTTTCTCTCCTGGCACTCAGGAGGCTCTGTGTAAGTCCCAAGAACTGGAGGAGGATGAAGCCACCAGGGTGGACACTTGCTGATTGTGTGGCGTCTGGCCAGTAGGCTAGCAGCCAAGGCTTGTACTTGCCAGTAGATGCTAGGGATGAATTCTAGCAGATCAGAGAAGCTGAGTGGCCTGGGCGTCTTTGATCAGAATTGTTATTCTGTGGTGTCTGCTCTGTCCTTTTTCACACAGGTCCTAAACTGTGGTAGGAGCTGGTAGTGGGAGGATTGGCCATTACTTGACAGCATTGTTTACTCTTTTTTCCTAATGGTTCATGACACATTTCATCCATCCTTGTGCTAACTTGGTGTCCCATTGGACAAGGCAGGATTTAGAAAATGTGCCTGAACTGGGGGTAGTGGGGCACACCTTTAATCCCAGCACTCAGGAGGCAGAGGCAGGTACATCTGTGAGTTCAAGGATGGCTTGGTCTACAGAGTGAGTTCCAGAACAGCAGGGCTACACAGAGACACCCTTGTCTTGAAAAATGAAGGGGAAAACAAAAAAGAAAACGTGCCTGTTATCATTCCAGCACACTTGTCAGTTTAGATGGTGGGGCTCTCAGCAGCAGGTAAGATCGTCTTTCCTCCTGCCCTGTGAAGATAAGGCTTGAAGAAGGGGATTCTTGGAATTCTAATAGCGTGCCAGTTTCCACCTGGTCAGTGAGTCAGACTTAGAACTGAGTGTGCTTTTTTTCCTGTTCTTAGTTTTTGTTTTTGTTTTTTCTTTTTCTTATTCCTTGACAATTGCATACTCACATACAGCGTGTCTTGATTGTCTCCACCCCAGACACCTCTGGCACACCGTGTCCTCCTCCAGTCTAGTGTGGGGGACCAAAATCTTTCCACTATGGAATATTTTGAGATCCAGCCTTTGGTTTCACTAAACATGGAGCACCGGAAAGCTCCGGCCCACTATGGTATTGTTAATGCCAGTAAGGCTACCACTGTTTACCATGGCCTCTTATTTGCATCTGTATGTGCCTAAGCATCTGAATAGGCCCTCACCTGGGCGGAGGAGCCAGAGGTGTGTGAATAACTTGTGAGAATGGAAGGTTAGGAGTGAGAGGCGAGCGGCCAGAGCAGAGAGAGAACAAAGAGGGAAATGGTTTTCCTCGTGGTATTGGCAGGAAGGTTAAGAAACACCAGAAAAGATGGCTAATAAAGAAATTACTCCATTCTTACAACATGGAACTAAGAGCTCTCTGAAGATGACAAGATGCCTGTGTTTGATCTTTATCGCCATTGGGTTGCTAGGAGCTTCCAGGTCCACACACCCCCACTCAGGTAGACCCTCATGGCTGTCGTGGGTTAAAGCTGAGACACGCCGGGTCACGACAGTCTAGTTACTGCTGCCTGTTGGGATATTAGCTAATCCTACTGCCTTGATCTTGTGTAGGCAGCTGTAGTGCACTGAGTTCATAGAGCAATGGCCGTGTCCTGCCTAGAAGACAGCATTTCACAGCACCCGTCCCCTCTTAGGTTCTTTCTGCCCCCTTTTCCACAATTTTCCCTGAGGTGAGCTTGCTTTGTAAATGGAGCCCCTTCCCAGTTAAAATTTCACAGCGCCATTTCCAATACCAAGCAAATGCCACAGCTGACTTAATGAAGAATGGTAACCAGGTCTGTGGGCACTGCCCAAGGTGTGAGAGCTCTTCCATTTACCACTGCAGCCAGTAAGGACTGTCACAAATGACATGTCTTGTAGGGACTGGGGGGTAGCTGGGTTGGTAAAGTACTTTTACAAACATGAGGACCTAAAATCAGATTCCCAGTTCAACAAACAAAATAACAACAAACCAGTAATCCCTGTCCTGGGGAGGCTTGAAGAGACATGAGGCTTTCTAGGGCTCGCTGCCAACCATTCTAGCTAAATTTGTGTCACAAAAGGTAATGTTTATCTTGGTGGCCCATGAAAGTCATCTTAGATTCATTGAGCTACAGGAAGCACAAATGTAAGACTAAGTTTATGTTTAAAAATATTTTACAGCTCAAAATTGAATTTCAAAATACAAGTAAAATCACATTACAAGATAAGATTAACATGAGGGAATTCTGCTAAAGCAGCCATCTGCTGCTCCCTCCGAGGTCTGGCATCTCTTCTCCAGCTCCCTGCATATGCTCCCTTAAAAGATGCTTGTCGCCTCAGAGCCCCCAGATGCCCGTGTTTTCTACTGGCCTGGTGGTCACATTGCACACTTTCGGGCTGCTGAGTTTGAGTCTGTTTGGTCTGTGGTACCACGTTTCCTGGTGTCCTCCAGTGACTTGTTGGTCCACTAGTCTTGTTGGCTGCTCTGTTCAGTCTCTCCCTGGGCCTTTCCTGCCCTCACACTTCACCTTGATTTTATTTTTTTCGTAGTTTTAACTGATGCCCCAGGCTGGAGAACCTCTGAGTTTAAGGCCAGTCAGGACTACATAGTTCCAAAAAAGAGGAGAAGGAGACCTTGTTTCAAAATAACAAAAAAAAAAAAGTAAAGGAGGAGAAGGAAAAAAAACCCTTGCGTTTTCTGTCCCCATCATCTCTGCACTCTAGGTTTATCTACATGGGTGTTTCAGTGTTTTCTTTTTTGTTGTCGTTTCCCTTTTTTGGGTATCTTGCTATGCAGCCCTAGCTGCTCTCAAACTCAGTCTTCGTACCATTCTCTGAGTGCTGGTATTGCAGGTGTGTTACCATACCCAGCCAGCGATCTAACATGTCATCATTGCTTTTTCCTCTAAGGTTTCAGGAAGGGGTGCGTTTCCCACAGGTGCTCACCAGCTAGTTTTCCGGCCTCTGCCCTGCTCTCCCAGTCCCACTCGCCACTGTAGTGTCCTGCCTGTGTTCTCCCTCTTCCTCAGCTCACCCACCCAGACTTGCATCCACACGCCCTTCACACACTCAAAATCCTTCACCAGTAATTATGCCAAATCCAGACTAACCATCATCTTCGGAGGCCCTAAACTCACCCAAAACAGGCTCAGGCCTGGAACTGGCGTGTGCCCTCCCCACTGCTGCTAGGTTTTAGTGTCGTCTCTTCTTAGAGGCTTCCACGTTTACCGGAAGTGCCCTTGCTGTGCTCAAGCCCTGGTGTTTCATCAGAACAGCCGATGTCAGAGCTGGTCACTGTCAGGGTCCTTGCAAACATGTGCCTTGTGACTAGACCACAGTGTCCTCCCTTCTTCCTCCTCATTTGCCATACACTGGAAGCTGTGACTCAGGCACTTTGTACTGAACTGCTTCAAGTACCTAGGCTGTCTTTCTGCAGTTCCGCTTACCCCGAGAGTTATAAGTAGCATCTTAATCCTAACACGCCAACTCACATTAATACCAACTTGGTTTCAGTAGCTAGTGGAAGCAAGCTGTGTGTATAGCTCCATTCACTCACCCTTGTTTCTGCTGCTACTGTCCTGAAATGACACTTTCATTACTAAATACCTTCACCAGACTTGTAATTGCTTATTAAAAATAGGAGAGACAAAAGCCAGATATGTTGGCACATATCTTTAATCCCAGCACTCAGAAGGCAATGATAAGTAGATGCCTGAGCTCGAGGACAGCGTGGTCTATAGAGCGAGTTCCAGGACAGCAAAGGCTACACAGAGAAACCCTGTCTCAAGAACAAAACAGAAAACCAGGAGTGAGACAGAGCACCCCTGTGCAGCGGGCTCCAGATTAAGCATGTAGAGATCAAGATACACAGGATTTGGTTAAATACAGGTTAAATTTACTTGGGGAGAAATCACTTACATAAGAAACCAATGACCCGAAAGTTCCTGCTCCGAGGATCCACACCCAGGGTCATTGGTTTGATCATTTCAGATTTCCAGGAAGGCTACTTTGGGATCAGTTCTTGCCAACCTTCCCCTTGGGTACTGAGGCCAGTCATGACCTATGGTGACCCACCTGGGGAATGTATACAACCCTCTGTAGCCTTCTGCAGGTTCTAGGAATTCCAGCTGCTGCTGCTGAAGTAAGAAGCCCTGCCATTGGCTCACCGTTCGGCCTTCAGTTATTAACGGTCCCTCTCCTATCTCCTCACAAGGAAAGGCTTCTCCTCACTTGGTGCCCACTACCCTGGGTGATACAAACAGACTCAGAAGGCAGCACTGTCCGGAGACCTGGAAGATACTCAGGGGACTCAGAATATGCTGCTGCTGCTGCTGCTGCTGCTTCTTCTGAAGAGGGGTGTCCCCCCAAAAGTTCATAGTGCCTGTGGGCCTGAGAAACGAGTGCCTCTGCCCGAGGCATCTCTAGAGGAGCAGGCTGGTGGCAGGCCAGCTCCGTTATGCACCTTTGAGGCTGAATGCCTTCTAAAGGATTCTTCAGAACATTCCAGAAACTGCTTTTAGCTCCTTCCCATCTCACAAAGGGAAGGTTTTGCATGAAGCAAAATGGTCTTTTTGCCTCCTTCCTCCTGTCTGCCCCTTTTGCAGCTCATGTGGACCAGGCTGAGAGAATCCTGGGCTCAGGTAACCTCGCTGTTTACTGAGGGGAGGCCTGTAGTTCAGAAAGGTCCAGAGGCAGAGATCTCCCCTTCTTAGCCCATTGTTTTCACTGTACCATGTTTGAATATAGCTGAGCCTGACACCCAGGCCCCTTAGTTCAGTAACTGGACTAAGAAAGACTCAGAGTACCTCAATTCTGCATCTGGTGTGTGCCTTTGGGCAACTCCTTTGTACTCTGCTCTTTCTCCATAAAACTGTGCCAGGGATTGTCCAGAGCCTTTGACACATAGTTCATAGGTGACTGTTGATGGCCACCATGAAATCTCATCAGAATTCAGTCCTCACAAGTTTGTGAACC